AGTTTTAAAAAGCTTCTTTTTTAAATGTAAGTTCTACCTTCCATTTCTTTATTTTATCTCTTCCTTTCTAATCTAACGTTAATTATAATTAATGATATTGTTGTTCTATTATAATCGAGTTTTTGGTTATTCCAATGTTTAAATTATTCTTAAAATAAATCGATCTTAAGTAATAAAAAATGAAAATACACATCTAATCTATTTGAATAATTAATTTCAACATAGAGTCTTAAAATAAAACGACTAAATTTATCACTTAACAAACACCATACACAACGAAGATTATTTTATTACATATTAAAAAGAAAATTCTAATAAATATTAATTAATCGATTAGAAATAAAATTGTATTTGAGGTGAGACGCGGCGATCGGATGATAGGTTCGATTGATTCAACGACTGGAACTTCAAGAGTGGGGGGAAAGGGAGGAGGGGGCTTGTTCCTGAGGCTTGCTTGGAACTCATTCGGTAACCGGAGAGTCTGATCCGGTCTGTAATTACAATTCGAACAAAGTTATGCCGAGCCGGTTCGGCCGGGGATGTGTCAAGTATTTAATCAGTGCCGACTACGGGGTCTGCGTGAGACAATGGATGGCGACCAAGCCATACCTCCTCCTCCTCCTCCTCTTTCCTCACCCTTTCTGCCATCAGTCGACCAACTTACTCCTTCCCTACCTCTTACAAGCCGTCTGCGACGAAGCCACCTCCGTACTTCCACTATGACTGGAGCTGCAATTATGTCGACCTCATTTCAGGACAGGTTTACTCCTCTCCTCGGCATTGTACTATTCCCATCTATCCTTCTTCAACATTTCACTTTCTCTCTCTCTCTCTCTCTCTCTCTGTCTCTCTTTAGTCGTCCTTCTGTTCCCATTTATCTTTGGTCTATCTTATACCGAGTGAAGTATTTAAAACAATCCATCTGAATATAACCTTAAATAAACTTATCGATGGATAGAACAAAATTAGTCGGACAAATTTAACTTGCTTTCGATAATAAAATACAATGTTATTTTATACCCTGTCTTTACGTTAGTCTTCGATATTCGAATTTAAGTTTTTCAACATCTTGGAGAATTATTTTGACTTTTGGAATAAATAATGTATATTTAAAATAACTTTTTAATAAGATTCATGCAATACGGGTCAATAGTGTAATAGTATAATTAACAAAACTTGCTAATTATAATCGACAGTTTGTATACATAGGTCGTAGCATGGATGCCAATTATAGTCGATGCTTGTAACAAAATGGATTAAAATCATTTGTTTATAAACCTACGAATAATATGACATCTAAAAATTAACTCTATTTTAAATAATATGTTACATTTTTCCATTTACCATCTAATAAAACGTTGTAAAAGTCATACTGATAGTTGAACTAGAATTTGCATTATTAACCTTACAGTATATTTCTTTTTATATAAAAAAATAAATAATTAAAAATAAAATCATAAAATGGAATTAATCTATTCTTGAAACCTAGTAAGTTTCATTTGACACATTATTTTTTTATCATCGATATCAATCGAATTATACAGAATCGAATTTTAAATGCTTCACTTGGTATATAGTTTTAGGTATTTGTGTGTGTGTGTATATATGTGTATATGCTATATCTATTTCATAGCACACGTTCTCTGAGCTAGTCCATTCTGTCTCCTTCTCTCTCTCTCTCTCTTTATAATTCTCTCTCTTCCTTTCTCTTTCTAACTTGGCAATGTCTCTTCTCTAACCACTAATTCGGCACACTTCACCGCCTCTACCATTCGTTCTATCTTTTTCTTTTTCTCTAAATCCTCACATTCTGTTCTCTCTCCACTCCAACTTCATATCATTTCATCCTCTTTTTGCCTCTTCTTCTTCTTCTTTTTCTTCTTTTTTATCTCTCTCAGTACCATTACGTCGCACGTTATTTCAGAAAACAATTAACTGCATAAAACGTATCACCTTTTCTCCTTCTCTCTAATGCAACTACGAGTAATATTATAAAATAGATAAGATTTTATTATTTCTTTTATTTATTTCAATTATTTTTATTGAATTTATATTTTCCTATTTTATTTATATCTTTTTATTTTTTGTATCTTTTTCTTTTTTTTCTTTTACAAAGAGAAATTCGAAACAATTCAAAGGATAAAGTCGCGATCTCGAAGCTTTGATTGTAACCAATGATGTACTTCGGCTTAGGTTACCGGTTTATCTTAATGCGAAAACGCTGCGTGCGTTCTACGAATCACATGTGATTTGTACAAACCGTTGAGAAACACGCGAGGTTGCTTGCTTGCTTGCTAGGACTTCTACCAAGAGATTTCTAACTTCGGTTTAAACTTGTCTTGGATCATGCGAATCTGTTGTTGTTTCTCACTAACCAAAGAGAAAATCATTTTTGTTGTTTTTTCTTTTCATTTCTTTCAAAACATTCTAATTGATAATCCTTTTTCTTCTTTTCTGATTTTTAAAGCTTGTTGAAATAAAATAAAAAACTTTCATGTTAAAAAATGTCAACTTCAAAAGAATGTCATAGTTAAAACAAATACGAGACTATAATAAATTGATAAGAATATTACAATCGAATATTTTATTTTTATGTAATAATTTCATCGGTTACATACATGCCGTCATACTCGTGTTCATTTATGCGAATCGCACTTTACATTCATACGTACGTAAATACGTACGTGAAAAGCTTTAAAATAAAATCATGGAAAAGTAAACATAGAGAACGAAATCGGATCTGAAAGATATGAGGTTGTATCGGTGTCCTTGCATCGTAAAAAGCACAAACTTTCCTACGAAATATCAGCTTTCTCTTCCTTGACGTAGCAATATCCTGTTTTCCTATCCGTATATTTGTAAAATCAAAAAGAGTATCTCATTTCTCTATGTATGTTCATATCGATCTTGTTTACCTATTACATAAATGAAAATATTCGGTTGGAAAAAAAATGTTTCTTCATATTTTTCTAAAACATAATTTTATATTTATGTAATTTCCGTAATATTAATAGGATCCAACAATACTTGTGGGTGCAATTGAATGCTAATATATCATAGTGTAATTTACAAACAACAAAAGGTTTTGACATTTGTTTTATTCCATCAAAAATAATCGAAATTTGATAATAAGAAAAAATAAAGAAGAAATTCGATAGGTTTGAACATTTTATCGTTAATTAATGCGATACATTTAATTGATGCCGGTTATAACCGGCGTTAAAGGAATACTACGAAAAATTTGTTTTATTTTTATGTTAAAAACGTAGAAATTTTTTTTTTTACCAAATTCATATTTTTGTACGTGTACTTATATACGTAAACATAGTGTTTAAAAGAAGGGCATAATTACAAAGGCTAGGACAAATCTCGCGAAAATTTATTTCCGGGTCCTGGAGGGGTTAAACAAAGGATTGTTCTCTGGATTCGTCGTCGCATTGTCGACCCTTCGTGTAAAAGCGATATCGAAGTTCTGCTTGGTCGTATTATACCAGAGAGAAAATCTAAATCCTTCGTGATTGTCTGTCAATTATTTATGATTGGCGGCAATTTGTTCAATCGAGGGTAAGCCCCATTGGGATGGAGGTTTACCGATTGGCATTCGAACGCGTTTTTTAAATTCACCTTTTTTTCCCCTCTCTCTCTTTCTCTCTTTTTCCTTTTCTTTTTTATCATTGTACAATATTTATGCATCATCATTGAGTACTTACGTAAATCATCATCTAACTAAAACAGAATTTAATTTTAACAAATTTTGACTCAATTAATGTCAATTTTTTATATTCGTATTAATTAATTAAATATTTTTTTATCTCTTTTCTTTTGTTTTTTTTTTGTTCAATATCGACTCTAATTAGTACAAAATGTATTCAGTCATTAAAATAGCGAGAAAAAAAGAATGAGACAAACGAAACAAACAATTAGAACTGAGAAAAATACAGAGAAAGAGAGAGAGAGAGAGAGAGAGAGAGAGAGAGATAGTTTTATAAAAAAATAAAATTCAATGGAAATAACAAAAACACGTAACAACAAAAAAATAAAATTCGAAAAATTTTAAAAATTTTAGTTTTTGTAAAAAGATCCTTTACATTCGAATTTTATGCTTGAATATGAAACACGTTTATATATATAACGACATATGGGAATGACGTATTTCTATAGCGAAATTTTGTTCATCTCGCAATTTCAACTCTTACGTATTTTGTTGGGAGCAATCAGGAAAACGGACCTTTGTGTCGAGGCGTTTAGAAATAAAGATCAACGAACGCGTTTCTCTGGGAAATTTCTGAACCGATACATGCACACAAGTATTCGTACTCTATCTCACGTGAGCGCGCGCGCACATATACACATACACGCATTAGATACACGTGACGACGAGAAGTCATCTTTCTATTTCAAAAGTTAAACGTATATTTCTCGCGACGTATCTGACTTTTCTCTCTCTTTTTCTATCCTTCGGCTTTATTTTTTTTTTTTTGTAATATTTTTTGTTTTCTCTTTATTTGTTTTATTACCTCCAACTTTATATCACATTTTTTTATTTTATTTTTTAATTTTCGTCCCTTTTCGTCGTCTCACGAACGACCACCACCCCAAGGGGTCGTTGGTTTTGCCAAGGTCCTTTCATTCATGTCGACTTAACGTTCTTCCTCCCACTCATTTTTTTTTTTTTATTAGACCCTTTACACTTGCTCTCATTCTGTCCCTTTTACCTTTCCATCAAGCGTCTTTTTTTTCGCGGTCACATATAATTTAACAATTATCTGATTCGATCATTTTACGTTAAAATAATTTTGTTTAAAATGACAACAACGATTACCGCGTTAATTTTTCTCTCTTTGCGAAATTTTTTTACAAGAAAATATTATCATAGTATAGAATTAAAAAATATTTTATCGGATGAAAAATATTTCATTTGAAACAAATATAAAAGAAAAATATTGTTTATGTTGGTTAAGAAAATAGTTTATGAAGATTGTCGCGTGTACGAGACTCACCAATCACGTTGACGCAGGGAGATTCCAATTCGCTAAGGTTCACCAAACTTATCGGTCCAACCAACTCTTCTTTTCTTCTTCTTTCTGTTATTTTTCTTCTTTTTCTCACAGCTTTCGGCGTTTATAAGTCTCTCGTCATGTCACGTCGTAACTGGATCCTTCAAGTCTCTCAAATCTCCTTCACACCGATCGCACTGCACGTCACAAGCCCTTCCTTACTGTCAGTTCAACCCTTCTTACTTACTATCTTATCTTATCTTCTTTCTTTCTTTCCTTGCTAACACCTTTTGTCTTTTCTTCTTTTTACGATGGGTTCTCTTTTTGTTTCTTTTTTTTTTTCTTAAACGTCCACGTGAAGAGACACGAAGAAGTTCTTAGTTCGACCAAAAAGTTGATCTAACTGACGTTAATTTTCGATTTTTGCACACTCACTACAAGATAATAGAGAAGAAAACAAACGTAAGTTTCTTGGTGAAAGATTTATCCAACAATTTTTTTTATCTTTTTCTTTTTCAAAACTTGTCTACACGTTCTCCACGTAATTGTTGAAAACCATTCACGCAAGAGAAATAAAAACAATAATAAAGAACAATGTTATTTAAAGACTTTTATTTTTCGATTAATGTTAACGAGAATCGTGTTACTCGTAGAAGATGAGATGATATTTGATTAATAATCCACGAACGTGAGATAAAAAGTGAGCAAAAGTTTCTTTGAATTTTTTGTTGTCGTATGAGGTAAGGTCAAGACTGATTATTACGACCTTAAGGTAACTTTGAATTCTCAATAAATCGTTGAAAACGATCTTTGACACAGAAGGTTAAGATTGAAACGAGAGGTAGACGATCAATCAGAGTCAGAGTCAGTCAGTCACGTGGCAGTAGACGCCACGCTGATCGATCGCAAACGACCTTGGTATTCCGGCGTGGTTTCTCGCATCAGGGTCAGGAACATGCATGAATTCGTCTTGATGATATAGAATTCGACCTTGGAAAATCTTCCCTTCTTATTAATCCCTCAAAACAATGAAAAGTTCAATCCATTCAATGAAACCAAATGAATGAATTATTTTCCTTTTATATATACATTCACCCTTTTGGGTATAATTTCAAAGTAAAATCTTGCCTTTAAAACAAGTATCTCAGTTCACATAAACAACCCTTAACGTTTCATATAAATATGAAAGATGCACGAATATTTATTTTCGATAGACGTTCACCGAGATTGTTCACTGAAATCTAAGGAGAAAAAAAAAAGAGTTGACGTTTCGATACGAAATGGGAGATTGAAAATAAATACAACAAATATGAAATATTAAATCTTCTCCTGTTTTATTGATACTTCTTCTAATACCGTACTTTCTTTTTTTCCTAATTTACTCTCCTCTCTTCCTCTTTTAATATATTTCCATTTTTATTTGGAAGAAAAAAAAATATAAAGAAAATACATATATATACATATATATGTATATGTATATATATGAAAAAATCTGAGGAAATATAAAAGAGAGGATGGAAGAAAAAAGTACGTTCTCCAAGGAAGATGCTAGGACGAAAGAGAGATGAGAACACGTCCGTCCGCGAACTGTTCGCCAAACGCACTGAGGAACCCGGCGGCAGGTTCGCCGCTGACGTTGTGCCTCCGTGGCTTCGATTCCCGGATGGGCATGCGCTACGTTATACGTTCCGAAGGGGGTTGCTTTTGCTACCACCGCGCTTCTCTATGCCAAACTTGCCTCGACTGCTACCGTCGTTCCTCTCCAACCACGGGGGTTGCATCCACCAACGGTGCTTCCAAAAGAGAGAAGAATATACGACAGATAAAGAGAAAGATAGAATGAGATAGAGATAGAAAGAGAAAGAAAGAGAAAGGAACAAGCCTGATCCCAGATCCTCTTATTTTCTCTTTCCAAAGATGCGCATGGGCTTCCTAACGTTCGCCACTACTGACGAACATGTACACCCTTCTCTATCTCTTCTCTTTTATAACAATTTCCTTTCTCCGTATAACCCTTTCGAATTCACTTTCTCTTACTTTTACTTCCGATAAGATTATTATTGTACTTTAATCGGTAGAATTTTTATTTCGATAATTTATTTAACAGTGTCTTATATTTGTAACAATTGCACTAGTGAATAGTTGTTTATTTTGAATAATATTTTGTTTTTAGGTATTATTGAGGGAAGTTTGTAATATAAAATAAGAAAAGAACAAGCATTATCTTATTTTCTCTTTCCAAAGTTGCAAATGGGCTTCCTAAGGTTCGCCACTACTGATGAACGTGTACACTCTCCTACCCTCTTACTCACATAACATTATTAATGCACTTTAATGGATAGGATTTAAATGTTGATAATTTATTTACTATGTTTTAAGTTTGTAATTATTGCAATCGTTAATAATTCTTTAGTTCGAATAAATAATATTGTATATTTTTAGGTATTAATGGGAAGAACAAGCATGATCTAATAATTCTTTCCAAAGTTGTAAATGGGTTTCCTAACGTTTGATACTGATGAACATGTACACCTTTATACTCTTCTTTTTTTATAACAATTTCCTTTTCCGTATAACTCCATCTACTCACTTTCTCTTACTTTTACTTCCAATAAGATTATTATGCACTTTAATCGGTAGGATTTAAACTTCGATAATTAATTTACAGTGTCTTAAGTTTGTAAAAGTTGTAATCATGAATAATTCTTGATTTTATGAATATAACAACTCTATTTAGATATCGATGGGAAAGTTTCAAAGAAATATAGATTGAACCAATAACGGTATTTAATATTCTTTATAAAGAGAATGTTATTATTGTTTTAATACTATTAATAATAAACCTGTTTTATTATTATCTTAGAAGTTGTAGGTATATCTGATAAGAAAATTGACAAAATTTAATTTTGAAGACATGGTTAAACACGAATTTTGATTATCTATCAATTGATGTATCACATGATAAGGATTACTATCGAAAATATTAAAATAGATGTAGCTAAAATAAAAATAAGTGAAATTAAAAATTTTACCGACATTTGTTTAAAACTTTTTTCAATATTTTAATTGACTTACTTTTTCTCGAAAGTTATTTAACATTATAATTAAAGAACTGTATACATATTTGTATGTGTATGTGTATATATTTGCAATAGTAAACATAATGATTATTTATATAAATAATTATTTTTATGAAAATATGAATATTTAAATTTTGTGAGAATTATTTTTTGTTAATTTTTCGTACTAAATGAAAATTAGGTAAACAAGTATAAACAAATGTACGTAATAAAAAACATAAAAATATCATTTTAATATTTACAGTAACTTTCTTCTTAATGTAAAATTGAAAATAAACCATTGATAATTGTTATAAATTAATAAATCGACGTATAATGAACGCAGATTGACTATTGTCCATGATAATGCACAAGCTTTCAAGGATAGAACAATGAGCTGGTGAATTTAAGCGATTTTAGAATCTACGACTACAATGCCGGGATATTAATTAATTATCTAAATGAAGCGCTAGAGTAGCAAGGACGTTGTAACGAACTGAAAAGTTATCGATCGAAATTCATCCGAAGTCTTCGGGGATTTCAATTGACGAACGAAAATGCATGAAAAGTTTAATCAATTGGAATCAAGGTTATATGATAAAAATAAAACAACTGATACAAATTTCTCGATGTTCACTGAAAACATTGAATTCCGTTTCTTTTTTGTTTTTTTTTTTATCGATTTCATTAATAACCTAAATAACGTTTATTTTAAACATTAATGATAAAGTATATAATTAAATGAAAACAAACAMACAAAAATATTCTTCGATAGAAATTTTTCAATGTAACGAATTTTTAGGTTAAGTATGAAAACTTGAAATGATTAATAGGATTAAAATTGTTCCTCGTAATGAGACAGCTTGAATTTCACTCGTAGTGAACGAAAAAAATCTTTTAGTAGGTTAATGCATTCGTTTAAAACAAAACGTTGAGAGCGTTAGTATGCAATTAGCGGTGGTCTGTCTGGAAATATTACTAAAAACGTTGCTCTCGGACCTTAATGTGTTAATCAAATACTTGTAAGTGAAAGATAAAAGAGTTAACTTAGGGTGCATAAAGAGAGGGGTGGTGAAATAATTTAGATTCTTATGTGGTACACAAACATTAACGTTTTATTTCTTTTTTTTTTTTTAGTTATCCTACACGTTTCATTCGAATTTTAAAATCTCAACTAAGGAAAAAAAAGTAACATAATGTAAAGAAAGAGGAATAACACTAGTTATTAAAAAGCATATTGATTTTTTCGAAAATATTCCTGACTATTAATTGAATTCTTTAATGGAAATTAAATAATCGCTTCAAATCATAACTCGTTTACATTTCTTCGGGTTTTCAAGGAAAACTAACACTCGTTTTCTTTTAAATCATCGATCTAAAGTTCACAGGGTTTACTTATTATAGTAATTGGACCAAACTATCAATTTATTTTATCTTTTCCTAAATTACACATATTACTATACTTTGCATTCCAAGCCGTATGGGTCTCATAAAGCCCACTATGAACCACTCAAACCATTTGAAATTGTTGTTACTCATATACGAATCATAAGGGACTTATACGATTTAACCTTTCAGACACAATGCGTCACTATAGTGGCTTTCGCAGATAACATCTTTTAAAATACACTATACTTAATTTTATTATTAATTATTTAAGTAAGTTGTCAAAATTAAAGTTCATTAAAATGTATTCGCATAGAGAACAGCATTGTTTGTCACACATTGTAGTTTTATCGTTTACATGTAATTCTCGTTGAAGCCTATCGTACAGAGAAACAACCCCGCACAACATTCAGCCTTTGCCTAAGAAGTTAAACGAAAAGGGCCACCAATAATCGAATCACTATAACAAAAAATTGTTTTCAGGAAAGAAAAATAAATCTAAAGTGACCTAAGAATGACAGAAAGAAAAGGTTCGATGTCAATGTGTATATGCAAATACATTGAGAACAATATTCGTTTTTGACATATGGTTTGTGCTGTTGTAATAGGATATATACATAGTATGTGTATAAACGCGGAAGAGCAGAGAGAGTTCTGTTACGGTGGTTGCTGCAAGCGCGACCGAGAGAACGAGAAACCCAGTTAACTCGGCAGGTTGATTACGCGCGGCAGGTGTCACATCGGCGAAGTTAGCAAGTTTCACGTAACCGCACGAAATACCTTACGACTTACGAGCCTTGGAGTTTCCCAAGCCTCACCTCCGTCCGAGAACCTCTACCCAACCTAGTCCACTTTGCACTTAATTGCACTCGTGATCAAACCCTCTTGCAGAATTTTACTCTTTAATGAAAATGCTGAAGATCAATTGTTATAAGTTACGTATAGTAAGTTGATAAAAATATTGTACTTGATTCGAATATCGATCTTATTATACTTCTGACATAATTTTGATTAATGTTAATTGTTTTTTTATTAATAGGAAAAGTATTTTATACTAATTGAGATGCAATAAAGTAGAATAAAATGTTAAAACATAAGGATTGACGTAGAAGTGCTTTTTTTAATCCACGATTGACCTTGTAGTATGAATAGGTTTATAATAAATTTAGAAATTATACAATTGGATGAGGTTTTGTGAACTTTAAGGGCGTAAAAATAAGAATAAGAATTAAGAAGTTTTTAAGAATTTTACACTTTAAGGATATGTTGAAGATAGAATGATATTAATTACGTATACTTGGTTGAGAAATAGATTACATCTGAACCAAATTTGGATTTTATTTGTGACCTAATTTTGCTCTATGTTACTTTGTTCTTATTAATAGGAAAGATCATGTATAATAATCAGATGTAACGCGGAGTAAGATTGACCGATGAAACATTGATGTAAATGTAGAAGTGCTTTATTTTTTACCCACAACTGAGATTGAAATATTTATTCGTCTATCATAAATCTAAAAATTACAATTGGATTAGACTCTGTGGATTTTAAAAGTATAAAAGTGGGAAAAGAGTTGAATAATCTTTTCCTTACCTTATGTCCCTTGGAGCTCATATTCTCATCAAACAACTATACTTACACGCAAAAGAATTCAAGTGTACTTAAAAAATCTTATTGCACATATGTCTTCACAATACGACATCAAATATTAATACTAGGAATTTTTATTCTTCAGAATTTGTTGAATTATCTTAAAGAATATGAACTGAGATAAAAACGTTATTAGTATTGTTCAAATTTTAGATATTATTCATTAAGTTGGTCAATAAATCGTTTGTAACAATTTTATTTAATCACTATGTCAGGATGCTCAGATTGTATGATAAAAGGGAAAGAATAAGAGATAAAGAATAGAATAGGACAAACGATTGAATTCGAGAGTAAACCATGC